GTACTCAGGAGGAACAGAAGTAAGGTCAGGAGAGTCCATCTCCCCCCCGCCTTTTAGGAGACCTCACAGCGGGAACTGCTGAACGGAGGCACGTTTCATGACATGAGGTCGACCAAGACTCAACATGACGATCAGTCCAGTTTATATGGGGGTTATGTCGTTCCAGCCACTCAAAACCCAGCACCAGAGGGGAAAATGCAGAGGGAAAAACAAAAAATGTTAGGGTTTCTCGATGGTTACCTGAAATTAACAGCTCGAGGGGTTGCATTTGGTGGGTGACCTGGTGGAGTCTCTTCCCATCAATTGCGGAGACACAGAGAGGCTGGGTTGGAGGAATAGTTTCTATCTGTAGCTGCTGGACCAGATTGGAGTCAATTAAATTCCGTTCACAGCCTGAATCGATGAAGGCAGACAACGTGAGATTCTGATCAGAGAAGAATAATGTGGCTGGGAGCATCAGATGAGGAGATTTCTCAGAGTTTACAAAGCCGGGGCCCGTCAGAGGATCTGAGGAGTCTGACGGGCCCCGGCTTTTGATTTAGCTGGGCATAAAGCAATGAAATGGCCACTCTCACCACAGTAGATACATAGCTTGCCCCTGAAACGTCTTAGCCTTTCCTCAGGAGTTAGCCTTGTATGTCCAACCTGCATGGGTTCGGCTTCCATCTCTACAGCATGAGAGGCCTGAACTGGCAAAGGGAGTGACTGGGTCTTAGACCTCGGTTTGGAAAAAAGTTCTGTGGAAGCAGAAAAAACAGTCACATTATTAGATGCAGGGGCAGAGTCAAAAGAACCATGATTCCTTGGTTTAGAGCTGTTTCTAGCTCAGATCCTGTTATCCAGCCTAATTGTCAGGCGGATTAATTCCTTAAGTGTTGCTGGTTCGTCGAGGGTTGCAAGCTCATCTTTAATGTTTTCGTTTAAAGCCTTAAAATAGGCACTTTTTAAGGCACATTGATTCCATCCGGAAGCTGCGGCTTTGACCCGNCGATCAAGGCTCATCTTCTTATTCTAGGCGTGAAACTGCACGCTTTGATTTTTGTGGACAACAACTATGCCTCGCTTAACATACGTCACGCACTCCGTTGCTCTTATTGGTTGTAGGTCTATCCAATTGAGTACACAGGCATTTTTTTTCCTGGTTCGTTCAAAACACGCCCCATAATCACAGCTCTATGGAGCAGTATCAGACTCATATTCTGACTGGAATTGAGTCGGACTACGTCAGGCTAATGGTTCAGCCCCTCGCGCAAAATTCCAGTTTGCGAGCACAAATTACTGCACGCAAAATTGGATCTTGATAAATCCGGCCCTAAGTAGTTTTTGGAACACATACAGTACTTTTTCACTTTTACTTGAGTAAAGAGGTCAAGTTGATGCTTTAACTTTTACCAGAGTGTTTTTAAACTGCAGTATCTATACTTCTACTTAAGTAACAAATGTGTGTACTTTTGACACCAGTGTGGGTTTATTTTCAATTGTAACTACTATATGTTATCTGCATTGTCATGGTTTCTGATATCGTTGTGTGCTATAATCTGAGCCAAAGGGAGCATGAGGATATTGAACAAAAGGGGCCAAAAATGGAGCTTTGAGGAGCTGTACATGATTTTCCGGTCCCTAATTTAAAGTTCACTACTGACAAATTTTTTCAGATGCTCTAGTAAAACCAAGTGATCATAGCGCGAAACACTGTACTAAGGTCCTTTAATATCGCCACCACTGAGGTTCTTTCACAGTCTCTAATTATAATGATGTCATTGAACATCCTAATCACAGCAGTCTCAGAAGCTACTGGGGTAAGCCCAGAGATCTGACTGGAAGACATACAAGCATCTGGTCATAAGGAGCTGAAATGTTATTATCTGAGAAGGTTAGCTATAATAAGTTGTTGTTTTGTCTTTTGTATAGCCCCTAGACCTTTTCTAACTTTTTTAAAAGGGTGAATAATAGGTTCTCTTTAATTTCCATTAGCAACATAATGTTCCTGATAAACAAAGTAAAATCAGTCTTATAGCTTGTGAATAGATGTAACTCATGTGAAGATGAATTCTTTACCCCCCTAGTTTTGCTGCAAGACCTGCACTGTCAGTACCCTTTATTACAGACCTCCACTGTCAGTACCCTTTATTACAGACCTCCACTGTCAGTACCCTTTATTACAGACCTGCACTGTCAGTACCCTTTACAGACCTGCACTGTCAGTACCCTTTACAGACCTGCACTGTACGGCCTCCTGTACTGTCAGACAAGGCTTAGATTAAGCAATGAACAGGCCTACTCTGGACTGGTTAAAGATGATTTCAATTATTTTGAAACTAATTTGTCCCTATTGTATGGTATCTGAAAACAAGGGCCATACACAAAAGATAATAACAACCATAAGAAGAACCGTTGAAGATAATAATATCCTTATTGTTATTTTCTTCTATGCTTCTTCTAAGCATAGAAGAAAATAATAACCATAAGGTTTTTGAGAAAGAGGGATGCTTAAGCTGTTTTCAGTAAATACAGTGCAGATACAATTTTAACCACAACTGTCTCACATTTGCAGGTGAGATATTTCCATTCTCAACCATCTGCCACAGGTGTCATATGCTTGATTGTGACCTTTGTTCTTTATTATTCACATTCTTTTATATTGTTTCATATTTTATTGTTATATTACATGGAAAAAAATTTTTTTTAATCATAATGCTGAAAAACACTTTTTGTGTTGCTTGTGAGTGAAGGGTGCTCCATGAATAAGTATTATTAGTCATTGTTTTTAACCTTTGAACGTTTGCTTACATTACACTATATATTTTTTTATGGACTATTTGGAACAATGTAAAACCACAACTGTAAAAAAAAGGATGCAGAGCTTAGCCACCGTTTTATCCATCAACAGTGTGCCACCAGCAAGTAAAGGTAAATGTGTTGGGTTACAGGAACAAACACATGCATTACCTACATCTTTCTGTACAAATGTTCTCCTCTTTGTTTCTGTATTTATTTTATCTTAATCCAAGGACCACACTGGTTGGTGTTTTTAACTTTGTGTTTTATCCAAGTAAAACTACTCTAATCCACATGAAAGAGCCTCCACACAATGTGTGTGCACCCTCCACATCTAGTGTTGCAAGTAGGGGCAAGATGCTGCCATTACCTTTATTAAATACACAAAACAATGGCTATGCATGAATAACTAATCAGGCAAATTATCCAGCAGAAAAATTAAATATATTCAAGGAGAGTGAATAAAACGTCATACTTATCATACCTCATGCTTATGCTCAACCATTCTGGTTGTGTGAATATACGCTCTGTTGTATCTTTGTTGCTCAGCTGTTGTGGGATGTGGGTATGGGGTGAATATATAAGAACTCTGACCATATCCACTGTCATCAGGTAGAAGACTGGTCCTATTTAAAACTGAGCAAACAATGAAGAGTTACAAAATTGAAATTTATGGTTTATTGGACAAAGAAACACAAAACATATTAGCAATATTTTAAAGAAGTACACTTTTAACTTTTCATTTTCTGCTATGGATTTGGCTCACATCGTTCACCTAAATTTTTACTGGTAGAGCAAATAAATGTCAGCATAATATGCATTTTGAGACAGAAATAAGGTTGTAATAAGAAAAAGAATATTAGACGACAATTATATCATATGATCAGGGTTTCCTTGGACTTTGAGAATGGAACTGGCACTTCTAAGTGAGTACCCACCTCATGGTCTTCATATAAATACATGCTATTTAAAGGCTTCAAATCAACCTCTTTTTGTCAGATGTTTGGAATAAACATTTAGTTTTTCCAGACATTAGTTTTCTGACAGTACATGAGACATTAACTGGCCAATGAAGTATTTGAGTAAGCTCTGTAGATAGTACAGCTTGGAGCTCTGATTTCAGTCGAGAACAGTAATGGTACCATGTTAATTAGGT